GAGCGATGCCATTCACTTGCTGAAATGGATAACATGAACATGAAACTTCCCAGCTATTCTATGGAAGCTTGTCCTGTACATGGTACTGAAGAGAACATCTTCATGGGCTCAGTCCCCTGACTCCCTGTGCCCAGTGTGATTTCAAATCCTGGATTTGCCCAGCTTCAAAGCAAGTCTGAAATCCTGCCTGCAGCCATGTTCAAGACAGAAAGTGCCTTTCTCACTAGTGCCACACTTCAAAAAAAACAAAACAAAACAAAAAAAAACAAAAAGAAAACCTGCCAAGTCTGAGTTCAGGCTCCTCTCTTTAAACAATGCTTTTGGGGGAATGGAGATTTGTCTGATATTCTGTATCAGCTTATAATTATTCATGTTCACTCAGATTCCCTAGAAATGGTACCCAAGTTTTGTGGTGTAAAGAGGAAAACTTAATACACATGTGCTAATTCACTAGAGAATAAATGATACTGAAAAGAACTGAGTATGTATCAGATCATTCTAAGGTCTAGAGAGGAAGCTAAAGCACTAGGATGAGATTGCTTGTCCTAGGAAAAGGAAGTTGCTATGCTGGCTATAGATGTCAGAAAAGAAATTTTATTTGGGAACCATGAATAAAGATGTGGCAGGCCTTGGCATGGGTGGAACCAGATCCTGCCTGTTAGAACATGTACACCTGGCAGGAAACTTCACTATCCTACTAAAATCATTCCCAGGACCCACCCACCTCTCTAGCCTCAGCTGCCACTAATCCCTTCCCTCATTGGGCCCCAGCAACTTCTTTTATTGCTGTTCACTGGTTTCTTCCAAGCTAAGGGTTTTTGAACTTGCTGTTGCTTCTTCTACAAAGCTTGTGCTGACCTTGGAGTTTGGAGACCGTCTCAGCATTAGGGTTTTACCTCTGGGAGATCCTCTGGCTACCCAATGTAACTCTCCTCCCTTCTTCCTACTCATGGTCACTTTCTTCATCACACTTATTTCTATTTGAGATTCACATAATTTTCTATTGTTACTCTCCTAGGACTGATATGTCTCATTCGTTATTTGGTTCACTATTGAATGCTTGATTTAGTAGGTGCTCAACAAATATTTGTTGAATGAACACATGAATGAGAGCCATCCAAGGAAGAGATTTTGGTAAAGTCTTGCCTGGATAGATAGTCTAAGGCTAACTGAATGACTAGGTGAGGGATTGAGGACTCACTACAGCACTGGGCCTACTGATGGACCTGAAGACATGAGGAGTTCTCTCACTGCTGAGCAAATTATGTGCCTTGTCTCAGCAGCCTTTGAGGAAGGACTGATGTCGTTCCTATTCTACAGATGTAGTTATGTCATAAGCCCAAGGCCAGTAGCTGGCAAGTGCCAAGTGAGGTCTTAAACCCGGGGCTCCAGTGCCTGAGTTTCAGACTATTACGTTGTACTATGCAGGTGCTGCTTAGCAACACTCAACAGACACCAGGAGTAAATTAGAATCTCTGCTTGGGACCTTATTTATGTACTTCCTAGTGAACAGATTAAGGAACAGTCAATATTTATGAAGTTTGCTTCACAAAATTAGCAATATGCTAATTGCTTTCCTGAGTGCTTTGTGCCCATTAATTTGCTAGGACCCAAGAAATCTGACCATCTCAGGCTGGACTCCAGAGGATGGAACTGGTGACTGAAATACGGAGATAACAGGGGCTGCCACATTCAAAGACATAGAACAAAAATGAGAAGGTGTGCAGGAATGTGTGAGAGTGAGCAGAGAATGTTAGCCATGTGTGACACAGGGGACCCATGTAGCAGGCGCAGACCTGGGAGGAAGGTTGAGAAGACAGCTGTTACTCATGTGAAAATAAACTTTAAAAACTGTTTATTGTTGTTTATAATGTATGTGATACATTATGAATATCAATCAGGGATGTGTGTGATGCTTTTCAGATTCAAACTGTAAATTTATCACAAAGGTGGTATGGGACTTTCACTCTCCCAATGTCTGCTAGTGGTCTGTCTTGGTAAAAGCTGAACATCTGATAAGTTCTTGGCTGCTATTGGGAGTGGGTCAATGTCTGGAAGCAAGACTGCTGCTAATCCTGGACTTCACATTGACCAATATGCACCGTGGACAGGAACAGTGGGCGAAATGACTGTGTCATCCTGGAGTCTGCATTATTGAACAGAGAATGCTGGTCTTGACACACACACTACACATTACAGCAAAGGATTTTCTGTATTGCAGAAAGAACCCAGTGTATTGTAGGTAGAACCCATTAGCAAAGATCATGAAAATATAATGCAAACATAGAATCTTAACTGTTCCCATAAAGAAGAAAAGGGTAAAGGCATTAAACCTCCTTCACTAGGGAAAAGCCCTTCACTTATTAAACTCAGATTTTAAAAATAATATATACAAACCATGAAATGAACATATTGTATAGACTATTTATTTAGTTTGGTGGTACAGGGGTTTGAACTCAGGGCCTCATGCTTGCTAAGCAGGCACTCTACCATTTGAGCCATTCCACCAACTGTGTAGACTAATTTAGAAAGCTTCAAAAGATGTGTCCAGGCCAGAACCTCTAGTACCTACAAATGTTACCTTACTTGAGAATAAGGGTCAGGATTTGGAGTGGGCCCTAAATCTAGTGCTTGATGTTCTTGTGAGAGAAAGGAGAAGGAGATTTGACACAGAGAGGCATAGAGGGGGAGGCCATGTAAGATGGAGGCAGAGATTGAACTACTGTGTTTGCAAGTCAAGAACTCTTAAGTGTTACTAGGAGGTAGGAAATATGGCAGACGCACTCTTAGTCTCCTGCAGGAACCAGCTCTGCCAACACCTAAGTTTGGACTTCTGGCCTCCAAAATGGTGAGAGAATGAATTTGCATTGTTTAGGTCACCCAGTGTGGGGTAACTTGTTACAGCCACAGGAAGCACAAACAACACATTTAAGCCTCTAAGATTAGAAGTGGTGGTGTGAGCTGCCTTAAATGAAGATAGGGGCTTTAAACAAATTTGGAAACAGTTTGAGAAAAGGCAAGCTATTGAAAGGACACTGTCATTTTTGCAAGTGACCATAGGCAGTCAATTTCTTAGCTACCATAGAGGGAACATCAACTGGAGCATTGGTCCAGCCCTACCAAGATATTTTCTTCTTCCTCATTGAACGGGATAAGGGGCTGGCCACCTGACCTCAGCAGCCTTGACTGACCCTTCTGCCCTCTGTCAGTGGTAGTGGGAAAGCCATTTAAAATTTGTCTTTGTTTATCTGAAGACTTAGATGAATGTCCCATGCAATTTTCCTATTCATCTCTGTCTCTTCAATGCCTGTAACAATGGGCAGCCATTCAAAGATTTCCCCTTCTATTAAAATTGCTCACTAAGCAAGCTTGTGGAATCAATATACTATGATTATCTTACAAGCCTGGGGTGGGGAGTGTTATTTCAAATATCTATCAAGTGGGTGTATGTAACATAGCCCCTATTTTAAGCAGATCATATTTTTTTAGTGATTTTACTTCCCCTTGTTCACCATGCTCTGAGAAAATCGAATCCCCCTTTTGTTGAAGAGACACAATTTCAGAGCAAGATTTGGTGTTCAAATAAGGTGAGTGAAATGGCCCTTAGACAAGAGTTCTGAAGGTTTATATTTCTGAAGGTTCTCAGAGTACCACAGGTTGCAATCAGTATTCTAGGATACCTGGAGGAATGGGCAGCCCTTTTCTGCCCCAAAAGGAATCAGAAGAATACAACTAGACCAATCCTACCTAATTGCTATACTCAAAGAAAAAAAAAAATGTGACTTGTCTAACTGAAAACTGTGGAACACTTTAACTGATGTAATGAGCTAGTAAAATGGGATTTTTGCCTATAAGTGTGGCAGGTTTTTAGATGATACTGACATAATTAAGGCCATCGACAGAGGCAAAAAGCAAGGATTTTTTTTTGGTGTCATTATTGTGTTTGCATCTTTGTGGGCTAATTTAAGTGTCTTTTGCAGCCAGGAGTGAGTCACAATGATTATTATCAAGCTTGGACAGGAAGAATAAGGGCTCCATTTTCTAGGATCGCAAGTATAAAGCCTTTCTCAAAACTACTCAGAAGTACAAGGTTAAATTGGTCATTTTCACTCTCCCAGGCTACATGGTTTGTTACAGTCTAGAGGAGTTAGAGCATTTACCCTTGAGATGGAAGTCAGAATTCCAATTGCCTAAGTGATCTGAAAGAAAAAGGCAGTACAGAGGTGTGACAGTCATACAAGGTCCCTGCCTGTCAGCTGGTAAGGTGCCATTTGCGGGCTCTGCTCCTCATGTAACATCACAAGTGTGGCCAGCTGTCGAAAGGCAGGCAGGTGTGGAGGAGAGGTGGGGTGTATTGGGGCCAATAGTGAGGCCCTTTATCAGTATACCTGGTTTTTTTTTTATGAGCATTTCCAACATTCTTTTTCTCATTGATTACTCTGCAACTTCAGAACAGGAGTGAATGAATCTATTTTCATCCCTCCTGCCTTTGTAGTACCAAGGGGTTCCTGGAATGAGCAAGTCACTGTTGGGTTGCTGTGACTCAGGGAACTCAGTGAGGTGTCTGGTCTCTGTGTCAGTAGAGTAACCCCCTAGATAGCTCTGTGAATACCTTTTGCTGTTAGCTGTTGCCTGGTGATTTGTTTAGCCTTCCAAACACGCCTCTAGAGTAGGCCACCTTATCCCCATTTTACAAATGAGGAAGCCAGAGGCTTTCTGGCTTGGTAGCTAGGTGTTCTTAGATAAATATGTCATCTTCTGGGCTCCCACCTCCTTAAATAGAGGATCCCAGTGGGCCCTGCCTAGGAGGGCTACTGAGATGACAGAGACAGGAAAGCAATAGTGCCTTCCCCACAAGAAGGAACCAATGAACTATTCCCCTCTTCTTCCTGGTGATTAATGTGCCTATTATATTGCCATTCTCACTCTTATTATACTGGGGCTTGGCAATTATTTCTCTTCTTAAAATATAATGTTGCTGAAGGTGGCATCATGTTGGAATGATCTTCAGAGGTAAAAGTAAATCAGCAAAACGTGGATTGTCAGGGAGAAGCCTCATGATACTCCTTGCTTTGGCCAGTGTGTGAGAAATACTTATTTTCTCTTTCTTTTTGTTAGCCCCCTTTTTTCTTTTTTGAACAAAAGGCAGAGTTATCTTTGGGCTACCAAGAGTGAGAAAGGGATATTTATTAATGGGATCATAGGGCAGAAGAGTAAATTATTGTCTGATTTCCTGAGAACAATCTTAGTTTTATTCATCCATCTATCCACCCATCTATCCACTCTTCCCTTCAGCCAGAGGTTAGAAGATGACCAGAAAGTGGTGGTCTCTGACCTGATGGATCTCCCACTGAGATCCATCAGTGGATCAGCTGAAGAGAAGTGGAGAGATTTTATGATTTAATTCCAATTTACTTATTTTTTTTAAAGCAAAGTTCTAAGTCAGGAATGAAGAGAATTGGAACAGGGCTGTGTTGGCTGAGGTGATTACAATGAGAGAAAACACATTTTTCCTGTTTTTAATGCTGAGTTCCAGCTCAGTAGGGGGGAAACCAAGAAAATAATACTTAGACAGTCTCTTTGTTCTTTTAAGAACCATGGTTTATATGAAATTGAAAATTATCAGTACAAGGGTGGTTCAAGTAAAAGCCATCAGTAGATACTTCTGGTTGGCTCAGAGGTCTGGAACAGAAAAGGTAGTCAGAGTGTCTGGAATCCTTAGTCCCCAAGCATTTCTGGAGCTACACCTTATTTCACAGCTGTCTGCTAGATGGGCTTGTGTGCAGTTACCATGCCAGGGGTCTGTCTCACTTGAGTTTCTAATATGCCTCTTCTCTCTTTTATTCTTTTTTTTTTTTTTCAGATCCTGCCATTGTTAATGGGGTTTATTGGTCCGAATCCCTAAACAAAGTTTTTGTAGATAACTTTGACCGCGACCCATCCCTCATATGGCAGTACTTTGGAAGTGCAAAGGGCTTTTTTAGGCAATATCCGGGTGAGTATCCCTGCACTGACAATAATGTTTCAGATTAATGATCCTGTAATATTTTCTTTAGGATTCAGGCTTACAATTTTTCTCTTCTCTTAGAAGATGAAAGATTAAGTTCTGTTGTCAGGGTGTCGAACGAGAACAATATGGTGATTATCTGTATGCACGAGCACACACAGAAGTACACACTCACGGATATATGGTATCTATCACAGGACTGACTTCTCTTTGAACCTGTGCATGGCTTCACCACCTTTCTTAACAGAGTAACTCAGAGTTGCCACTAAAACCAAAGAAGTGGGTTATGAAATGTGCCATATTTAATTCTCTTGCACTAGAGTTTCTTTTCCTTAACCATTACTACCACTATTATTGCTGTTATGATAATTGTTGTTAGGGTAAGAGCAAGGCATACTTGGGCAGAGTTAAATTCTGACTAGAAATAAGTGAGTGTGAACATGGGTTCCCCCACCACTGGGCTGGTTCACTGTGGAAGCAGAGGTGAAAATGGCCAACACAGGACAGATGGCAGCAGCCCTTCTATGGAGGCCCCCAACATATCCCTCAGGTGGGTGCATTTCTCAGCATTTGTCCATCATGCATGTGGAACAGGTGTTCCTTCTGGGGCCTTCCCAGGCCTCTGCTTTGCAATAGGATTTTAATTCTGTCTTGGTTTGAATTTTAATTAAAAAGGGAAGTTTTAATTTTGCTTACAAGTTGTGAAAACAGGACTCGGGGCTGCAATTGTGCCAACATCACAGCTGTAGAAATTAACAAGCTCAACCTAAAAGAAGAAAAAAAAGCACCCTGCATAATCTTGGAGCAATTAAGTGGAGTCTTTTATGTTTTCATTAAGTAAGACTAGGCACCTGATGTCTTCCTAGTTTGCAGCACAGAGACGATCAGCCTCCGCCTCAAGGAACTGTTTGTCCTGCGCACAGCATCTGTGCCCTGAGACTTGCCTGCCGGGAGGTGTTTGTGTTGCCAGATTATTCAACACTTCCCAAGGGCTGTGTTTAGCAGGGCATACGCTTCTTCTAGCAACTCACAGACATTTAAGCAAAAAGCATCCTATTAAAGGTAACATTATAATAAACAGTAGATTATGAAAGTTCCAATGCCACCAAATTGAAATCTGCCTTGATACACTCAACAGAGAGCAAATTTGAGGCAAATGTTGCTGAGATTGGAGCATTGAGGGGAGACTGGTATGCCTAGCAAGCCTCTGGATACCTAGCCATCTGACCCCATGGCATTTTGATGAGGGAGGATGCTGAAGTAGAAACCAATTCATCTGTTGTTTTCATCAACTACAAGTCCTCTAACTATAGTCACAAATCCCTTGATTTGGAAATCAAAGGGATCCTCATAAAGGTTTTATGTAATGGGATTTATTTCTTTATGCACAAGATTTTTATCAGTCAGAATGGTCGAGTCAAAGTGCTTACAGGTCTTTTATGACATTTTTGGCCGGATTTTGACTTTATAAAATGTCTGCCATGTTTTCGTATTAATGAAGATGAGGGACACAGTACAAAAGGTATTTCATTGCCCTAGTAATGGCATATGGTCACTCAATTCATACTTGGCTCTAAACACAAAGAACACTTTTTGCCTCCTGGCTATAACATGATTACAGAGGATCCTGAGCCTTTTTGATGGGATGCTTTTCCTATTGGGATGCTTCTTTCCATTTTTCGAGTAATATGGTATCATGGAACAGTGGCAAGTGTGCCTGTTCTTAAGAAGAATGAGTGTCTCTTCACTCTTATTTGAGTGTCCTGAGTTCTGGCTTTATACTAAGCACTGTGTGAAAACCTACAGATGAAATGGTGAACTAGACAGAAGAAGTCTAGTGTCTCACCCTGCCATTGGGAAGCTACCTCTTGTGGGAAACACATTTATCAGGGATTTGGGTTGCAAATGACAGAAACTCAGTTCTGCCTAGCTCCAGCAAGAGACACATTTATTGGCTCATGTAACCTGAAATCTGAATCTATTTTGGAGTATTACTGAATATTCAGCAAGGTCTTTTGGATTTGGATCTTTCCTCCTGTCTCTCATTTCTGCCTTCCTTGATTCTGATGTTGTTTCACTGGCAAGTTATCACCTCATGATTGGAAACATTGGCTTCAGGGTTATAGGATTTCTGTCCTAGAAGAGAAAGGAACATGTCTTCCAGGAGTTTGGATGAAAATCCAGGGATTAACCTGGTCTGGGTCATGTGCCACCACTAAAGTCAGGGGATGTGGAGATTAGGTAGGGTCACCCACCTGAAAACATTGGGACCAGTCAGGATTATTGTGACTTTGCCTGGAGTGAGTCCCCAAAGGAAGGAGCATTAATGGGCACAATAGGGAGATAGATGGGTAGACCAGTATATGGTACAGTGTGTTTTATGCTAAAATGGGGGAAAATAAAAGGTGCCAAGGGAGCATGGAGGAGTACCAACCCTAGCTGGGATTGGGCCAAAAGTGTTCCTGTAGGTGTAATTAGAATAGAAGCATAGGTGATGTTGCATAGATTCACACAGGCCTCCAAAAGTGCATCTTATGTCATATGGACATGTTATAATTCTGCTGTCTGAAAAACTTCTATGTAGTGGTAGAAATGTTTTGTGTCCATGCTGCTGCTAATGTCTCTGTCATAGAGACTCACAATGTACTTGAGCAGATGAAAGAAAGGCCCTCAGATGTTCTCCCCATGATGGAGATTTGCTTTTATTCACTTAACCCACATTGACATCCTGTAGCACTTCTCATGGAACACCCTTGTGGAAATGCCTGTGTCAGGAAGAGAATGAAGGCGTGGGAGTTAGGAGAATAGTTCTTTGTACTAACTGGACACCTCAGGAAAGTCTGAAGATTTTGGCCTAAACGTCAGGTTTGGGCAATATGACCCCACTGGGTCCATTTGCCCCTGATATTGAGTAAAAGCATGATGTTTGTTGTTACATTCAGGGCAGCATGCCTGCAACTGCCTCTAGGACTGTCTTCATCCCCACTCAATGTATACCTCATGTCTTAACCAGGAATGGCCTGGGCTTTGGGGTTTCTGGGCTGCTTAGGCTCCTCTTCCTCTGGCATGGACCTTTTCCACACAGCCACACCAACATTCCTGCCTTTTCTTGAACTTGATATGTTCTTCTTAGCCTCAGGACTTTTGTACACATTGTTCTCTGAACAGGATGTTCCTCTTACTCCGTTTCTGAAACCCCCTTTTGTTTAAGAAGTCCTCCTCTTGCAGTGGGTTGAGTAATGCTTCCCAAAATTCACGTCCACCTGGGGCTTCAGTATGTGACCTTTCTTGGAAATTGTCTTTGCAGTTGTAATTAATTAGGTTGATTTGAGATGATCCTCTATTAGGTTGCCCCTCAATTCAACAGAGCTGGGGTCATGGGAAGAAGAGTAGATGATTCACAGACACAAAGGGCTGATGGAGGCAGAGCCTGGTATGATACAACTATAGGTCAAGGAAACCAAGGATTGCTAGGAGCTACTCAAGGCTGGAAAGAGGCAAGGAAAGATACTTCCTTTGAGGCTTTAGGGGGTAACATAGCCATGAAGGCACCTTGACTGTGGACTTTTAGGCTCACAATCATGAAAGAACACATTTCTGTTAAGTCATCCAGCCTGTGGTACCTTGTTCCAGCAGCTCAGCAAAGCAATGCACCATCATTCTATTCTCAGCTCAAAGATGCTCCTTACATGAGGGATTAAACTTGCCTTTTACACACTTACGTAGCATCAGGTTCTTCTCTTCTGTGGCATTTCCAGTACTATTGATTTCTTACCTAGTGTCTGCTGCTAGATGTGCAGCATCTTGGCAGGCAGAAAGGAGCCTGGCACACCTTTCTCAGTCACTTCTGTGTCTACTGACTGGCAGAGTGCTTGTCAGTTTGATGAAAATTGTGATGAGAAGGCAAAAGGTTGAGGGATCATCTCATTTGATCCACTTTTGTACTGGAATTGTATCTCTTACTGATTTTGCCAGCAGACTAATTTTATATCAACTTTTCAAAAAGCACCAATTTACAGCAATGCCTGGAAGGAGTTACAAGACCAGATACAAAGAACTGGCCTCAATTTAAAAGAAAATCATGAGTGCCATTAATTCCTCTTCCCCAGGCCTTGACCTCAGTGTTGAGATAGAGAACACATAATGACAGAATTAGGATGGGGAGGAAGAATAGCAGAGCCTGAATTTGATGGTGGATGATGGGCAGAAGATATGTGTGTATATATAATATATAATATATATATATATATATATATATGGAGTGCTCTAAGCACACTCACACAACCACTTCAAGAAATATCCATTGACCACCTAGCATTGGTCAACATGTTTAAATAACAAAAACCAAAAAGTCTATTTTTCATTGTACTAAAATTACTTCCTTATGAAATGACAAATTGGGACATTGCCTGACTTCATCAGGGATATGATTTCATTGTGTGTTAGGACTGCACCATCCTAACCATGCTTAGCTTTCTATAACACCATGTGTCAGATATGCTTTAAATAAATGGCATTCTTATCTGTTAGTGTACAGTATCTTGTCAGTTATATTTTATCTGTATTAATGATCTTCAATTGGCACTTTCTTCTGCTTTCTAACTTCTTAAGCAGAGCCCATGTACAGGTGGGAAATGCAGGTACAAGAGGACAGAACAAATTATCTCTGGGATACACAACACAATTTCAAGGCTATTTATGTAATACTTTGGGGATGTTCTCTTAAACTCATGCCTGTTATCCGTGGGTGATCCAGAAACCTGGCCATTATTAATAGGAAAGGAGGCACCCAATGACACTCTCTGAGTCAGAAATTTTTCCCTGTGAAAATAACATTTCTGTTTTGTTTTCTTATATTCACAGTCTATATTTCAAATCCTTCATCACTGACCAGAACTGATGGTTGAAAACAATAATTTCCTATGCTGTTTTAAAATAGCAAATGCTGCCTTTTTAAATGAAATTTTATTCTTAAAAAGTACATTGTAAATAGAGAATATCACCCTTGGATATATCTCTATCAGTTTGCAAACTATGAGATGAAGGATGCTGGATCTGATTTTACACAGGGGGTAACTCCTTAGGCTTCAGGGCCTGAAATTCAAACTCCATTGTGCGGCATAATTGAGGCCATTTTATTTCATTTCAGTGTGGAGAGTCAGGCCAAATTTCTGATTTTAAAAACAGGAGCAAGGAGGTAACAACCCTGTATATATTCTAAGTTGGAAATGTATCATATGATTTCTAGCCCCCCGTGCTGTAGACATTACCTCACCTGAGTCCAGGGATGGGGCCAGACTCTGGCTAGAGATCTGTGAATGATACTAGCAGCCCCAACAACTTGCTGGACAGTGAGAAATGACCGTGGCTGTCTTTATTAAAATTAACCAAAGGCAGGTGCGAGTTACATCCTTTCTCAATAGACAGTATGAGACTAAAGCTGTCTCCACCTCCCAGCTGCTCTTCGGAGCAACTGGGCAAAGGCTGTGTGTGCTATAGGTCTACTGCCTGAGAGTGTCTTACCAGAGCTGGTCATGAATGTGTGAGAAGCTCCAGGGTTGGTCTTTGCATGTGATTTTTTTACCCTGTCCATTCAGTCAGCAAAGCAAAGCAGCCTTGAAATGCTACAAATAAATACTTGAAGTTTCTGGGTTTCATATAACCCCATTTTTCTTCTAGGGATTAAATGGGAACCAGATGAGAATGGAGTCATTGCCTTTGACTGCAGGAACCGAAAATGGTAGGCAGTAGTCAAATCACTTTTCTGTTTTGTTTTGTTTTGTTGTTTTCTTGAGGTGCTGGGGATGGAACCTGGGACCATGCACATGCCAGGCAAGTTCTCACCACTGAGCTACATCCTCAGCCCCTTCGTTATTTTTTAAAAAGAAAATTTGAAGAGAGGCCAGGAGTCATTTTTACTTAATTTCCCCTTGACCTAGGTACATCCAGGCAGCAACTTCTCCAAAGGACGTGGTCATTTTAGTTGACGTCAGTGGCAGCATGAAAGGACTCCGTCTGACTATCGCGAAGCAAACAGTCTCATCTATTTTGGATACGCTGGGGGATGATGACTTCTTCAACATAATTGCGGTGAGTGTACTCATTCTGTGCTTTTTTCACTTTGGGCCATTTGCATTGTTACTGCTGTTGGATATACAGTGCCTGGAGGCCAGGGCATGAGGTCATGTGTGTGCACTGAATCAGGGCACCAGAGGAACTTCCAGGGACTGGAGATGCAGCTGAGCACATTAGCTGCCCTGGCCTAAGCCCCTTTCATCTGGAAGAACAGTGCCAGATTTGCTGTTCCGGAGAGCCAGCCTTTTTAGGACCTTGGGGAACAGACAGAGCAAGATCTTCCTTAAACTGCTACGATTTCTCACATGCAAATGAACCTTCAACCAGATCAGCCTGTTGACAATGATAGTAATGATAATTAGGATGAAACGTGGAGAGTGGTTTCCAGCTCCAGACAACCTCAGTTTCTGAAACAAAGATGGCATTTATTAAGCTCCTACTCATTGCTTCACTCTTCATATTTGTATCATCTTCCCTCCTCACAGCAACTCTTTGACATATTCTCAAGAGGAGATGTTGAGATAAGTGTTAGTAACTTGTCCAAGGTCCTAGGACTGAAGTTAGAGATCCACAGACCAAGGTAAGGCAAGGCAAGGCCTGAACAAGTGACATGTGGCCTGGAAAGAAGGACTTACTAAGATTTCCGTTTCCAGAACTTTTTCTTCTTCTCAGTTCTCTGGGTGTGTTTATCATATGCCCCTTACGGCCTTCCCCACACACTTTCCAAAGAATGTAGCTACAAGGAGCCTGATTCTTCTCCATGACTACTCAAATGCTCCTTTGTGGTGGACACAGGCTCTTCTGTTACCTAGCTGTTTAGGAGAGGGGGTGGGGACAGTAGGCAATGGACGCAGTGTGATAAGTGGCACAGAGTCTAGGTTTTGGAGTAAGGACTAAGTAAGTTTGGAATGGGGTTCTACCACGTACATAACCAGATCTTGGGGCAGTACTTTACTCTGTGCCTCAGACACTTGTATTGTGAAGCATGTGCACTCAAACTGCCCATCCAGTTGCTGCTGGGATTCTGAGCTGATGTGCAGGCCATCAGGCCAGGGCATGGGATTCTCTCCACAAATGGTAGGACATTAAAGAAGAGGATGCTCCGGCAGTGTTGCTGCTGTGGTATGCAGTGGCAGACTGTTATCATAGAGCCCTGTGTTAGGGCAGCCTTCTGCATCAGTGTGTTCTCTAGGTTGAGGGTGCAGGTGTTTGTTTAAGTGACACTGAGATTGCAGGACAATTGCTCGAATGTCTTGCCTACATGCTTCTAATGAGACTCTCAGACCAAAGGGCACAACTGTGAAGCAAACAGGACTTTTAGCTTTGGGTTTTACAAATCCCTGAAGAGAGGGAAAAGAAAGAGAACATTATATTCCTGGTGTCCAAAGGTTAGACTTTGGATGCATGCCCAACCCCTAGGATGGTGCTTGGTAAACAGTAGGGGCTTAAATATCTACATAAGCAGATGCCTATGTAGAGTGCCCACTGTGTGAAGCCCATCACCATGTAGTTTATCTCATTGAATTTTTTTGCCCCAGCTCTTTCTGTGGTGCAGAGACAGAGGCACCAAGCAGCACAAGGACTATCTTGAGGTCACACAGCCAGAAGTGGTGCAGTGAAGCCCTAGCAGGTCCAGTTTCACCATGTGTTGCTTCTTGTACAGAAGTGAAGAGAATGTAGCAGGTCTAGTCAGCCCATTTTACTATACAGAGATATGGTCCAGGGGACAGCCCTTTGGAAGAAGGCTTTCAGAGAGCAAAACTCTTGCATTTCCAAACAGTAGAAGTTCCACTGGCTGCCAGCTTCCTTGTGACTATGTGAATGTGTTCTGATCCCCACACATCCTGAGGCACTCACAGATAAGGAGCAGCTAATTTGAGACTATCTTCCTTATTAATCTTTAATTACTCATTACAGAAGTATCAGAAATTCATGTAAAAAAAGAGCTAACTAATTACTTCATGCATCCTTTATCAGTCAGGATTTATTGTTCATTTAACAAAACCAATCGATAGAAATAATCTATGTAAGTTCATTAAGATATACAAACAGTGTCAACTCAATAATGAAGAGAGTATGATTAAGATAATTAAAAGTAGACATGGTATGTACTAAGGAACAGTTAAGAAAAAAAAAAACAACTTTCCCTAAATTTTCCTCTTGTAGAAAGAAACACATTGGAGGTCCCATTAACCCTCACTCCACATCTGTTTGTTAGTTTTCAACATAAGTGATCAGCTTCAAGATTATTTACATAATTGTTTGACAATTAGAAAGATACTCTGAACTTTTTATTTGAAGCCTTTAAAGTAGACTCATGAACTCTGTTCCCCTAATGTGTAAGGAATAGACCAGACTATTAATGAATTTATATTAGAAGACCAGGGTTGTAAAGGAGCCATTAATTAACAGTAACTTTTCTTGTTGATTACTTTTTAATGTAAGCAGCATATGTAAAAATTTTAAACAAGTCAAAAATGTTTTCATCCCCTCTCCATTTGGCACATATTATTCCAAATATTTCTTTCTATATGAACTCACATAATTTTTATATAAAAATAGGACCATGTTTCACAGAATATTCAGCAATTTGCCTCTGTTCTCTTAGTGCAATTAAGTGTATTTGAATACCAGGACATCCCATCACATATAGATGACATCAAATGTTTAACCAATACTCTCCCTAACCCCTTTGCTCGGCATTATGCAGTTACAGAGTTATTTCCTACTTAAGAGTGCTCCAGTGAATGGACTCATCAGTGCATGAAATGCACCCAAGGGAATTAATGTATATATTTTTGCAGAGTTGAGTATGTTTTTATTTAATAAAATACAGAATTGAAATTGTCGCACCAAAAGGAATGCACTTAAATCCTACCAGGATGTCTACCAAGCAGGGTATAAAGGTTTTTTTTTTTTTTTTTCATACTTACCAACAGTTGGAAGACCCTAAATAATACTAGATTCATATTTAGCAAGCTTTTATTTGCATTCCCTCAAATAATGTCTCCCAGTCCTCAATGTGTCTCACCAATTTTGCCTTGCTGAGTTATTTTCCTCCATCTCTTCCTGCTGTGTCTGTCTTGCTTGTTTGCTCTCACAGTGTAGTGTATATTTTTCCCTAGTTTGTTTGAAATGCTCATTCACTTCCTGTCCAGAGGACCATCCAACCACAGGTTGCTACAAGTACAGGGGGATGGAATATTTTCCCTTCCATCCAGAATGTCTTGCAAATCAGTTTGAGTGCATTGTTCTTGTTGCTGGATTCCATTTACGGGAGAGGGCATTACCGCTTCACCCTTCATTACACTGCCAGCCTTATCTTGATTGCTGGGTAGATGTTTGAGGAGACATTTCAGTGTTTTAGAGAGAAGGTAAAGAATACAATCTTTATTTTCAATGTTGGAAGTCATCATGCACTGGAAGGTTTTGTTTGTACAAATCTAATTTGGCATTTTCATTCGATTTTCAGTGTTATAATAGAGGAGGATGGGAGATTTAAATACTTAGAAAAGACTTTCCTCAGCCACTCGAGTCAATTTTACATATTTTATTTCACTCATTGTGAAGTGCATCATATATTATACTGAAAATCTTCTGACCCAGATCTTTCCAGAGAATAAACATAAAAGGATAATATTAAAAATTGTTTAAGTTTTGATGGGCAGGGTATTGCAAAATCTATCTAAAACTAATGAGCTAACTGATTGAATTATGGAAGAATAGGTGAAATATGAGAGTGATTTTGTGCGGTCGAAGTTAAATTTTAAGGTCAAACCAATGGTGCATGAAGAGATGTCTCTGACAAGAGAAAAGGCATATTTTTCTGATTCACTTTGAAGTCTAACTCCAAGCCATGCATTAAATGAACAATATTATCATAAAAATAAGGGTGCTAATTCTGTCCATGGCTGAAACATGAAAAATGATTTTACAGAAGCCTAAGTCATGCATTAAATGAACACAGCATTAACTGGGTTGATATTGTGAAATCAATTTAAATGCCTCCTGCAGCCCATGTTTGTGCACGTTGGAATACAGAAGAACTTTATTTGCTTGTTCATCCCGGAACTTTCTGGTGCCCTGGTTTTAATTTGCAAAATTTTCTTTAGAACTGTTTCTCCAGTGCTTTGCCTGCTGTGGATTTGCTTTTTAAAGTAATGGATTCCACATTAAAAGTATGAGGATGGTATTTTCTTTCAGTGTTCATTTGTTTTGTACTACTAATTATGTCCAGTCGAGTTTCAAATTACCTAAAAAACTTTTGTAATGCAAAAGATCCCTGGGATGCCTTGTGTTGGTGAAAATATTGTGGGTTCCTCTGCTTCATTACATAATCCCTACACATTTTCATTCTAAAGGTTATTTAATCAAAAGTGCACCAATAAAACCATAAATATATTTAATGGAGTCTCAGCAATTTTGCATCAGTTTCTTACATTACACGAGCATGCCAGCATTTTAATAATATGGGCTTTTTGTGGAACTTTGGATTCTCTAAGACATACTCACTTACTTTCTTTACTTTTTGTTTATTTATCTGATTTTTGAAAGGGTTAGAGGTTCTCATCTTATTTTTTTGACTCTGTGCCAGCTTTCATTTTCTGGCTTTGTTCCTAGTCTTTCCCATTAGTGATCTTCTCTATAATTTTGCCTTTTCCTTTCTTTGTTCTGATTGATTCATTCAACAAATATTACTGAGTGCTCAGTGTTAAATGCTGGGACTGCCTTGGTAGACAGGTTGTCTGGCCTCATGGCCCTTGAGGTTTTGTGTATGAGCACTGGGGGTTGGGGGGTCAACCAGGAAGCAGGTGTGGTCAGTGCAGTCTTGGAGAAAGGAGGCAAGAGGACACATAGACATAGGGCATACAAACATGTAGAGACTCAGAATGGCTTCTTGGAAGAAGTGATAATGAAGCAGGCACTTGAAGCTAAGTGGCCGTTAAGTATATGTGATAGGACACATAAGGGAGGGAAGGAGGAGAGAGTTAACAACTCAGGAGAAAGTGCCATTT